TGCGTATCTCGTCGAAATCTTAAGTATTTCTTAATTTTTTCGTACGAGGTAGTCAAATTTCTCGAGTACTCCGGATTTATAATTCAAAAGGACTTGTAAAAAATTCAAGTCTTCAAAAGGGAAAAAACAGTAAATGGGTTCGAATTGAAAAAACAATAAAGGGGGGCACATTAGCCATCACAACCCCGAAAACAGATCACTGATCCTTGACGTCGGGATCCTGCTGCATCTCCTCGGGCAGAACGGCAGCCTCGAAGTCCTGGCCAGCCATGAGATCCGTGTTAGTTCCGAATTCATCAATGGCGACATCATCTTCGGGAAGAGATGCCTTTTGTTCGGGTTCAGGGGGAGTCGCTACAAAGAGATGAGTAAACTCATTTGGTTGCGGTTTGAGAGCGCTTACCTCGCGAGCCTTTCTCTCAGCCTCTGCCTCATCTCTCTTTACCGACTCTAGTTCGGCTTTGATGTCCGGAATTTCTCCTTTCAGGATCTCCTCAAGAAGCTCTCGGTTCGCCCGAGTCTCGGCAAGACGCGTCCCAATCATCTCGTTATCGCTTATGGCCTTGAAGTAGGTCTCATGCTTCGAGGTGAGCCCGCTATAGAGTTCACGGAGCCTAACCCTTTCATCTTTTTTCGCTGCTGCGAGCTCCTCGTCCCGTTTCTCAGCAACAACCTTGCACCATTCCTCGCTTCGCTTAACTTCAGCTTCCAGCGAGGTAATCTTATCACATGCCTCAAGGTACATGTTCTTTCCGGAATTCAGCTTCTCGGAAAGATCAGTCTTGGCAATTTCAAGAAGGTTGCAGCGAGCTTCGGCCTCCAGCATTCGCTCTCGGATTTCGTTCGCCTTTGCCACCGCTCTGGCATTTTCTTCCTCCATCTCCTTGAGTTGACGGATCTCGTCTTCAAGTTCAGTAACCCGAGTTCTAAGACCATCCAGCTCGTTAACAGGAAAGAGCTGGGACTCGTGGCAGGAGAAGGTGGTGTTGTACTCGAGCATTAGCTGACAAAACGAGGATTCATGAGAACGTAAAGGAGATATATATATATCTTTTATGTAAGGAGAAAAGGTTCGAAGTATTACCTCTCCGAGTTTATCAGCGAAGCGAAAGTAGTTCGCTCTGTTGACCTCCTTTAATTCACTGAAGGGAGGGATCCTCATCCCAACAGGAGTGAAATTCCTCATAAAATCAGCTGGTGACTTCGGAGGAGCTGTTAAAATAAAAAAAACAAGTCAAAACGAAGTCGGAGTTAGAAGAATACGAAGTGACTCTACTTACCAGTAGGGATCGGAATCTCCTGACGAACGGATTCCCGATTCTCAGAATCCCGCGAAGGCAGGATAAGCAGCTGAGTTGGCAGCTCGGACTCCGGGGCCCGTTGTGAATCTCCTTTTTCTTCTGGTTTCGACCCCAGACTGGGTCCAGCATCCTCGGAAGGGTTTTTCTCGTCGTTCAGACGAGAACGACTCTTGCGTTGAAGGGGAGGAACTTCAGATTCCTCGTTCCTGCGTTTCCTTGAGGAGGTTGCAGTGTGGCCTCCTTCCGAGTTTTCTTTTTCCCGAGAAGATCGAGAGGAGCGAGAATCCGAGATCCGGATTACGTCTTTTCCCGAAGACACCTTCTTCTGATCACGATGATCGGAGGTCTTCGATTCGGAAACCGGATCTGCGATACCCGAACTCTTCCCTTTACCAGATGAAGATCTGGCTTTCCCATCATCTAAGGCCTTCACCATCCTGGCCTTATCTTCTTTTTCTCTCGCTTCTCTTGCTTTTTCCCTTTCCTTCTGGAGCTTCTTCTCTTCGCGATAGGAAAGTGGAGACATGTTAGTGGCAACAGCAGGGGATGAGGGAGGGGTGGAAGAAATGAGGTCGGACCGCGAGTAGATTCGGGCACACGAATTTCGGATGCGTTCGCAGGTGAACAATTCCCACGTGAGGTCGCTGCGGTTGCAAATCTTTACGAATTGCTCCGCAAAGGTATGAGAAAGTGGTTTCTTCGGGAACTTTACTGCAAAAGACAAAAGGAAAAGGGTTAGTTCGTTGAAAAGCAAAGTTAAGAAAAAATTACGCAGTACAATCCCTAAAAAGCTATCTAACCAGGACGACGAGTCCAATCTCGGACAAAGAAGCCTGTATTCGGACCATAGGAAAATTCGTTAACGGGGAAGAAAAAGTATGATTTCCTCCACTGTTCATCCTTATCAGGAAAATCTCCGAAGACTTTGAAATGGCTTCGAGGACTGAGGAAGAATGTTCCCGGAGTGCGACCTTTCTTCATCGTATAAAGTTGAAAGACGTCAGCAAGAGAGATCTTATATCCGTTTTCCTCCGCTAAAGTCTGAAGGCTCAGGACAGTTCGGACAACATTTGGACAGAGTTGGGGAAGAGCTATCCCTAACTCGTGCATAAGTTCTACTAGAAGACCTGGAAGAGGGAAAGATAGACCGCACTCCGAAAAGAATATCTCGAAAGCGCAAGCGTGGTCGCTAGGAGGAGATTCTGGGGACTCCTGGGGCCCCGGAGCTACTAGATTGATTTGACGCGGGATCCTGCAGCCGCCTTTCATCAAGGCCAACTTTTTATCATCGAGATCCGATGAGAAATACTTTCCGAAGTCACCTTCTAAGACAAAAGTTTCACTCCGGATTTTCTTGCTCTTCCTCGGAGCCATAACTATGTTGGTAATTTTGGAGTTTGACAGAAGATCTGGAAACAAAGAAGCTCAAGAACACCTCAAGAACACGCTTGAGCAAACTCTGAAGATCTTCGTAGAAACCCAGAAAACAGGAAGATCCAGTGGCGGACGTTCTCCGGGAAATGAGCACGGATCGCCGGAGTCCAAAGAACACGGCGGAGCGGAAGAAGAACAGCGGGAATCTTCAGGCAAACGGCTGAAAATCTAAGAAATCTTTTAGATTTCTGGCCTAAACCTGACGATTACTAGCTAGGACGGCGGACTACTTAACGATTCCGGAACTATAAAAGCAGTTAAAGATCAAAGAAGAGAATAGAAGTAGAGAGAAGAGGGAGTTACCTTTAAATATGGAAGAGCAGAAGCGGTTCGAAGAAGATAAGGATGTGTGCGTTTGCAGAACCCGAAGAGTCTAATGGTTATATAGAAGGTCATTGGGCGGCAAAATGAGAAACCCTAGGATCTTGAAGCGTCTTTACCTTCCCGAGGAAAATCCCTCGATCCGCGGAAAAAATTATACCTTAGGATCTCGAAACGTCACTTCGGTTGAGAACCAAATCCCGGGAAAAGCGGAATTAACGACGAAATCTCCGAACCCGAGGAAAAGTTCAGCATTTAAAGTATCCCGAAGTGTTCACTTCGGAACACTTGGGGGGCAAACTGTTGGTGTCGGATCCCACAATTCGGATCCGGCCCGGAAAGATAATGGATCAATAAGATGAAATGAATTGTCGGCCCAGTCCAAGGGACGAAAAGGACAGCCCAGTAAGCTCCAGCCCAGCTCGGGTGAAACGTCGGGATCATGCGAATTAAATGAGACGCGGGTCGCACGGGATTTGCGAGGTCATGAAGATTCGAAACGGAAGCAATGATAAAGGCGAGATCCGCGGCTTGATAGACGACTTCGGTTTCGAATCATGTAACTATAAATAGAGAACGAAAACCATTGTAATGGGGACCGAATTCTTGAGCAATATACAGATACATACACTTCACTCTTTTGTTTTCTTTTTCTTGATTGTTATTCGAATTATCAAGGCTAGACGACCCGACACACATCTTAAAATTTGTATTGCGGATTCCGACATCCACAGGTAGTATGTGTTAATCCAAAAATCATGATTCAGATATTCATTCTTGATTGATGCTTTTCACTATCAGCCTATTTGAAATCCCTCGTACATTACCAAATATTATATAGGCTTTGAATGGTTGTGTGGTATATATTCCGGATTATACCAAGCATACCAATATTTTGGTATCCTAAACTCTATATTAGAATATGTTTTATTTTTAAAGCAGACCAAATGACAACATACATATAGTGATATCTTGGTATGTAGTTGTTCACTGCGTTTTCGATGTAGATCAACTTTGATCTGATTTGGAGTGGATTCTACAACCATCCAAGACCATAATCTTTTTTTTTTTTGGTGAGAACTGAGAACCAAGACCATAATCTTTGTGCATCCAAATATTTCTTTCACAAGCTAACAATATATAGTAGATACATATTACTAAGCCGTGCAATTTTTTATCTTATAAACATATGAGATTTAAAGGAAAAAAAAACGGTTTTGACTCAAAAGAGTTTTTGTTATTCAGTTATGTTGGTTTACATATTGGAAACATTTTGGTATTTTACTCAATAAAAAAAAAAAAAAATATGTAAGTTGTTTTAGCTTGAAATCTCATGCGTCGATGTTGTAAGAAAAACATTCAGATTTCAGATAATGAATGAGAAGAACAAAGACCAAGTGGATATTATGCGTCAATGTGTGGAAGGGCCGAGACGCCACCATTTTTTCGCTGAAACGTGCAAGTAACCAAAAGTCCAAAACCTTTACTTAATGAAAAAAACTTTGTTTGTTTATTATGATAACCAATTCAACATTTATTTTATCCTGAAAATTCATTTATCATAGTTGTTAATTATTAATCCAAGTTTATACTTTTGTCATATTTTTTTTAATTTTTTTATATCATAGCAATTTCTTTCCCCAACAATATCATGCAATATGCAATCCGGATTGTGAATTTGTGTTACATGTATGTCTAAACCATTACACCAAAACTAATTTGGATTAATATGATATTTTTTTTGTGTTTTTTACAAGTCATGTATTTTAATTTTAGACGGTTTTTTTTTATATTTTAAAGTTTTAGCAAATCTCATGATATAGCGAAAATGAAAACTATACGCTAAGTTTTAAGAGTTTTATTTTTGTTTCCTCCTTCACCGTTCATTCACTGATTTTTTATTTATCTCTTAGTCCTCGTTCTCTTAATCTCCTCCTCCGCATCGCCGCCGTGCTCTTCCCCAGCTCTTCCGGCGGTAAGATTACGTTCTCCCTCTACTTCTTGGTAAATTCTTAAATTAAGTCTCTGCTTCATTGATTCTCTCCCTCACTTGTTCATGTTTTAGTCGCTTCTCGACGTTTTCCCCGATAATTGCTGCTTAGTTAGCAGAAAAGCGATTTCTAGATGAATCTCTTAGAAGATCAAACGAGTGAGATTGATTATGATGCTACGAGATTCATATTTTAAACGATTACTACGCAATTGTGTGTGAAATCACTTTATCAGGAACTTTTGCTTTGGTTTCTCTACTTAGATTCTGTATCACTGTGTTCAGTGTTGGTTTGAGAATTAGATTCATTCTCTATTAGATTCTTCAAATTTCATTGCTTTACAGGATATGATGAGCATTGTCTCAAGTCATCATCATTGTCAACCATCGGTTATACACGAACGATGCGGTATAGGAACAATATCTAAGGCTACTTGTTCGAGATATTGCGGTCCGTGTTTCTCTGGAAGACTGGTTTTCTCTCATAGCCTCTGCTTGAAGACTACTTGTGGGAAAACTGCTAGGAGAAGGTTTTCAAGGATTTGCAGTATTGTGGATGATGAGATGAATCCAGATAATTCGGATGACGAGGAAAAGGAATCACTCGATGATAAAACCAAAAGGGTATGTATTAGAAACCTATAAGCATTGTAAACTCCGGCCTTTTTTGCTGTCCTTTAGGGTGAAGTCATGACTTGACATTTAAGAACCGAGACTTAGTTTCCGTGTGCTTTATACACTAGAGTTATGTTAAATAGTCGATGGGGTTTTAATTTTTTTGTACATGAAAGACTCAGACTCTCTAGTTCGTGAGATTACTAAGAATGTTGATCTACTTCTGCTTGATACTGGAAATAGTTTTGTAACTAATTTGATTTCTTGAGTCCTTTTGATGTCCTAATGTCTGCCCATCTCTGTCGTGGCTTAGTGACACAATTAGTACGCATGCCTTTGTTTAAATTTATTGGTTGCTTGATATCATCTGATCGTTTTGAATATTCTTTTTTTTTCTTATTCTTTAGCAAGCGAATGATATGAATCGGGCAAATCTTGAAAGAATGGTTGGGTCAGATGATTCTGCATTTAACGGTTTAGATCTTGCAACCCTCATCAGACAGAAGTATGGAAAATCTTATGATGTTCAACTCATCAAGAAGGTATGCCTTTCTGTATTCAAGTGTGTTTGTGATTCTTTATTCTCGTTTTAAAGGCATAGGTTAAGGCAATCTGCAAAATTATTTAAACGTAAAAAGAAGTTAAGAATACAGAATCAGCTCTTGCGAAATTCAATTGTTCGTGTTTCTTTTCATTTTCAGTTTCTTGCTGTGACCTTTATTTTATCAATGTGGAAAGATTTGTCGCTTCAGAAGCTAAGAAAATAAATCATAGTTCTTAGATGTGATTAATGTAGGAATTCATGGGGCGGAATCTTCTTGCAATGAATGTCATGTGGAAGTACAGAGAACAGGTAAGAGAATCCTTTGTTGTGGTTTTGATCATAAAAGAAGCCTGATGATATGATAGTTCAATTGATTTCACTATACTTGTTTAAACTTAGATGGTTATGATCTTCTTTTTCCAATTCGGATTTGGTATGAGAATCTTTGCCACATAAAAAGATGATATGTATATCCTTCTTTTGTTGGTATAGTTCTTGCCTTTGCAAGCCAATCCTTTGTAAGCTAATTCACCTTACTTTCTTTCTTCTTCTTCAACGCCTAGAGGTCTTTTCCTCTAACCGAAGAAGAATATATACTGAGACTTGACGATGTAGCCAACATGTTGAAATGCTGGGGAGCAGTCTCACATATCCGTAGCAGCCTAGCAAAGTCGAAGGAGCGTCCTCGGATAGGGAAGGTGAGATCAAGCCTAAACAGTAACCTTAAAATGCAGGCATAATTAGTTAGGTCACCTCGGTCGATTAGAGACCACTTTGATACTTAGAAACTGTATTTTTCGAGTTTAAAAACCGACATGGGTGGTTTCTCTTCTTCATGCAGGCTGTCAGCATTTTCATAGACATGGATTCGACAGGGGGACGAGCAAACGAATGGATTTACAAGTAAAAATCGACCGGTTTACAGCTTCTAAACCAAGAAAGCAAAAGGTTTTGTCTCTAAGTTTATCGTCATCAATTCATTTTGAAGGCTCTTCTCTGATGGTGATTTGCAGAAACATAGTTTTTTTGCTATATTTGATGTCCAAAATCAGGTAGTATATATGTACATGTGTGTATTTAGTAAACCCAAATCTTTACATGAACTCTCTTTGTAAAATATCTCCATATGTTGAAATTGTATCATCTATGTAAGTCTTCCTCTATCGCTGTGATCTGTAAAAGCAGCCACATGATTTCTCATTTGGGACCTTTGAGCCTGCTTTGTCCCAAAAAAAAAAAATATATAGCTTTGGGACCATTCCTTCATTAATTCATGGGTATGTTTACTTTTCTAGGATGCATGGTTAGTTTTGTTTTTAGGTTATATGATTTATATTAGACATATTATAATCGAATTGTAGGTTATAGATTAAATGGATTTAGATACATCAAGAAAGTGTGGATTTTAGAGAGTTTTGGTTTCGCAGTTCGGTATCAATTTGAATCAATACTTGTTTCCGGTTTGTAGTTGGGCAAGTCCTGCTTCAATATTATAAGTTTTAGTCTAAAACCAACATCATGTTGGAACATCGTGATACTTTTTGATACAACACATAATGATAATGCTTATCTTCATCATCATTATCATCACACTCATCCACCTCCACGTCCTACATCATCATTTATTTGAAGTTATATTTTTTCCTCATAAAATGAGAAAAAGATCATATCATCATTATCATAATTACTATTATTGATGATGTTGTCACATCACGATACACATCATCAACGTATGCTTCTTAACTTCATCATGAAAATTCAAAAGCATCCCTCTCTTCTCATCACCACAACCACTAACAAGTAAAACATCTTCATCATCTTTACCATCCCCCCATACATCCTCATCATCATCACCCCTATTTCTTTTTTAATCAATATGTAGGACATTAAGTATTGATTATATTGCCCACATATTAATGCTACTAAACTAAAAAGATTTGTATTAAGATAACGTTCTATAGTCACCAAACTTACATCGCAATTGTCAAATTTAATCTCTTAGTTAAAGTTTTGACCAATTAACAAGCATATTCACGCAATTTGCAATTTTTTACAAAACATAAAATTATGAGTAGTGACAATTTCCCTGTCTATATCGCATGTTTATTTAATTGCGTCGTTGAGTCATGTGTAGTAATATTTTTTTTAAAATGTAATTTAATTTAAATAAAATTAATATACATGATTCCACAAATTTATTATTCTTTCACCAGATCGTATTATTTTACAAGTACAACAAATTTAATTTGTGATTTCTTTTCAGTATTTTTTTATTGTAGTAAAAAAAATTCATCTACACTTTAGGGAAAAAGAAAAAAATTAATTTGAATATGTAGGTAGTTTGACCAAAAAGGTCAAATTACAAAGCCTTTAACACAAACACAAAAAACCAGAGTCTACTTACATAAGAAATTTTCACAATCACAATTCTCCGGCGAATCCAACGTTTCCGGCTCAATTCTCCACTATATTGACGGCGATATACCCTTCGACGGCGTTTCATGGTTGCTATTTGTAACCCAATTCGGACCAGTAAGGTTTCCGTACAGTAGTAAAATCACAATTCCTCTCTGTAACAGCGATCTCAACGACTTCAACGAGACACGTTACTATTCCAATCCATTTTTCCAACGCCGGTAACTGAATCGGAATCGGAAAACCCTAGAGACGTATGGTTGATTGGAGTGGCGATGCACCGGCAGGGCTCGTCTCCGATTACGCCTTCAAGCTATAACGCCGCCGTTTCAATTGCTTCTGATGTACCTACTGGCTTAACCAAGTCTCCTTTATCTCACGCGATTCCAGTTTCGCCGATTTCTGCTGCTTACCCTTCCGGTGATCCTATGCTGATGATGTCTGGGACTCCTCTCGCTAGGGTTCGATTATCTGATATTTTGCCTTATGAAGGAGCTCCTTCTCCGGTGTATGCAAAAGCCGTGGAGGCTTTGTCTGTGTCTTTGATGAGGCATAATGCGTCTGTGATCGAGCTAGGGAGTGATGACACTGCACTCATGCGATGTGGCCTTGAAGCTGCTCGTTTGTATTTTAGAACTAGAAGCCTTAATGTTTCTGGTAAAGGCAATCGTGGCCTCTCTATGTATAGAGCTGGAAGGTTAGCTCTCTCTTCTTCACTGGTTTTTGTTTTTGTAGAAAGAATTGGTTTTATGTTTTTGAATTTGAGAAATTTGTTTGATTGTTGTACTCTTCATTGCTTATGCTTATGATCTAGAAAGTTTGACATGTAGTTATCAGTTCTTGATCTATATGATGTGTAGTGACTGATCTTTGTCTTGTGAACAGATCTGTTGAGGATTTAGATTCTTCACCTCCATGCATGGCTGAGATTTTCCGGTGCTTGGGTAAAGTAGCACGAGCTGCTTTATCTGCAATTGCAAGGCATCTACGTCTAAGAAGCGAGTAGGATGGTTATGATGCTTATTCTCTGGTTTTACTACTACTTTTCTTGCCTCTTTACTTTTATTAACTCATAGAATGAGCGTATTTCTTTTTTTATTTGCAGTGTTTTTAACCATATGCTCGATGACTTTCCACTAGCTCCGAACGAGGTTTCCTCCTCGGTGCTACTGGCTTCCTATGCTCATGCATCAATACAAAATGGAAAACATGCTTCTGGAGGTGGGAATCTATCTGCTAAAATTGAAGTTGAAAAGGGTTTGTTGACACTGTTCTGCTCAGATGGCACTGGCATTCAGGTCACCTCTATGAACTTTCAGTGTATAGAAGGTTACATATATGCTTTTGTTTTAGCAAGGAACTTGATGAGAAAACATGTCATTTTTTATCCTTTTGAGGGGCAAAATAGTTGTGTAAGAATACTATCATATGAGTTAGACATGATTAGCCATAATCATGAGTTTCCATTTTGCTTGATTCATTACACTGTTCCATTTACTACATTTGGCTTCTATTTTTTTCCTTCTGAAATTTCTTCTATCCTTAGGTATGTGACCCAAATGGTCGTTGGTACACAGCAGATAATGGGTGTGGGGTGGGTGATGTCTTATTGATTACCGGCAAAGCGCTTAGTCATGCTACTGCAGGTCTTCGTCCAGCTGCCTCTTACAGAACTACTACCGATCATTTGTCTGGCACTGACACTCGAGGAAGGTATGTTTTTGAAGAAGAAATAAGCTTTTCCTCAACTTTATGACGGCTTTTCCTTAACAAACCTTATGACATGAATGCATGCATACATATTTGATTAAAATTTTAAAACTTTCCACTTGCAGGGCATCATTAGCTTTTAGGCTTATGCCGAAAAGTAATGCTATATTAGATTGTTCCCCAATAGAAGCTGCCGGCCATGTAATTCCTCAAAGCTATGTGCCAGTATCTGTTAGTCAGTTTATGGATAACCTCTTGGCCGAGAATGACACTCTAGTTAATCCGCCTGTGAAAACAAATGTAAGCTTACCCTTTAATAAAGTAGTAAAACTAGCTGTCTAGAGTGAAAAAGTACATTTAAACGTATAAAACGTTGATATCTGTGAAGTTCTATGCCATTAGTACCCAAATCTGTCTATTTCCTTGACATTTGGATCAGAAATTTTATTGAGGAACGATATATAGTAATCCTATGTCGTTCGTATTCATTCAGATCATGCACTTTTTTCTTTTAGATAATCTCAATCGAGATTTGAATGAGTGGGTGTGCAACTTATATTACTTTCTTTTTGAGGATCTCACATATTTGGATCTGTTTTATGATTGGCACTACCTCGATACTATAATGATATAAGTTTCTCTATTTGATGTTAACTGCTCAGAGCACGAGGTCTTATGTCAAGAGATCTTCTGAATTGTTGATGTCAGGTTCCGCGGGATGATGTTTGCAAAGAGCCTTCCTTAAGAAGTGTTCTCTCGGATCCAATTTCGTGAGTACCATTTTTCCCTTAGTGTATAATATTATTCATGACGAACAAATCTCCTCTCTTATGAATTGCTTATCTTTGTTCATCTGATCATGTAAAAAGTACCCTAGCTAGGTTTTTCTTGAGTGCTGGCAAGCCCTTTTTCTAAAATTCTCCTCAATTAGTTTTCTATTCTGATTTAGCAAATGGTCCAAAGCTAAGCATGCGTGCCAGATAGTAGACATACACTGAAGACATTAACTTGTCATCTTTTGTTACTAGCTCCATGAGCTGTATAATATGTTCAATTGTTTCCACCTTTTTATTCTGTTGCTGTAATTTTGCGAAGGCAGTGCAGTGAAAACAACGTTCTAATTTGTCTGTTGCAAACTCTTTGATGTTAGTGGGGCTTTTCTTGAAGATGCAATGGTTGTCTCTTGTGGACACTCATTTGGTGGCCTCATGCTTAGAAGAGTTCTTGAAATGGTTGGTACTAGTTTCCTTCTATCTATTAATATGCTAGTCTCATGTGATGGTTCTTCCTATATACCCAAGAATATTTAGTAACCACAATTATCTTATGCACAGTCTAGATGTACGCTCTGCAATGCAGAAATCGAGTCTGGGTCTCTGGTTCCTAACCATGGTAATTCCTATAAAGTTCATTCTCTTCTTATCTATGTTCCTCAATAAATAAATTGATCCACGGTAGTCTTTTGGGGTTTCACATTGACAAACAGTCCTAACCGAGTAACCGTATTCCTTTTCTAATGTCAAACACATAGCACTTAGAGCTGCCGCTTCAGCTATAAAGCAACAGGATGATAAAAGACTTTTCCACAACGCAGCCATGAGGAGGCGTAGAAAAGTAATGAGTGATCAAATGGATGTGGTGAGATGATCTGACACTGCTCTATATTATAACTAATTGCTTTGTGGGTCTTTTGTGGTTTCCTATTACATAGTTACTATCTCCAAACTTAACAGCCTGCATCATCATCTGTTTTCTGGTTAGCTTAAGCTTATGTTGTTGATGAACCTCGGATAAAAGTTACGACTTGATCCCAAATTTTTCCCTACAGGAAAATGGAGATCCAGCTACGGATGATGGGATGCATCGAGTGGTGCATTATCCATTTGCTGTAAATGAGAAAGTGCTTATCAAGGTAGGCCATTATTTTTTATTTTGGGTTCTGATGCATTTCTTCCAGCATATAATTTGGTTCTAGCGTGTTATGGAACACATTTCCCATTGCAGGGAAACCGGAGAACCCCGGAAAAGTTTGTTGGAAAAGAAGCAATTGTGACATCTCAATGTCTCAATGGCTGGTAACTATTACTCTATGATCTATAAGAGCTGAAACAAAACTATGCTTGATAGGTAAAGCGAGTTGTTGAGTTTCAATTCTCAAACTAATCCATTCTCATTTCTTTTCATAAAAGGTATCTATTAAAGATTGTCGAAAGCGGAGACAATGTGCGGCTGCAATACCGATCCCTAAAAAAAATGGTGAACGATGACAGAGGAGGAGGCATACAGGTTCAACCGGTTGAGAGCAATAGCTTGTAGAATGTAATCATATTTAACCCTTTTCTTTTCTTCTTATTCTGTATCTCTAGAGCTAGAGAGAAAAGAAAAGATAATGTGGTTTGGGGTTTGAGATTCTGCATAAATTTAAATCGTTTGGTTAGAAAAAGAAAGTAGTGGAAGACTATTGTAAACTATATTAGCCTCCTAAGTATTAGAGGTTTTGTACAGAACAAAATGTTAGGAAAGAAAAAACAACTGTCTTACTCTTGTTGATGTGCTTCCTACAGAGCAAAATTGCTTTCCAATACGATACGGGATTTTGCATTTTACTAATTTAGTAACAAAAAGTTTCCACTTTTTATATGTAAATGTGTATTCAATCAAGTTGATATATCTAAAGTCTTTCGTTACAATGGTTTATTGTTATGCGTTGCAACGGACAACACTAGGTTGTGGTTTGGGACAACACTAGGCTCGTGGTTTGGAATAGCCATGTGAATCAAACCTAGAAACTGACAGACTAGACAAGTGTGCTCTTTGATACGACAAGAACTGTAACCACAAGTCTTGAGGATTTTCGTTGAGTATGACTCTAATTATGTGATGAACAGAATTGTTGAGTTCAAAACGTCTAACGTCATTAGAGAAAATGGAAGTGAATCTCGGAGAAGCTGTGAATCTCAAAGATTTGCCAATTGATCGCCCACTTGTGTGCTCTTATGTTCCAAGTTTAGAGCGAATCAACCAAAGCCTAGTAAAATCACTTAATGGCCTAAAGTGTTGCGTAAATCAACCAAGGTTTAGTACCATGGCCTATCGAGCAAAAGGAAAGAACCAGATCATCAATCCGTCCTTTTTACAATACCTTATTTATTTCTTGTATCATCTCCTTACCATTCATTTACTCTGTTTTTTTTTTAACAAGTCTAGTCTATTATAGATTTGTTTATTTATTTGTCGTCCTGAAAACTATTATTGTTTGCAACCGATGGCGGTTGGATTCTGGCTCCTATATATATGATTGGTGAAAGTATCTGTGCATGATCATCATTCATCAAGAAGGTGGAGCCTCTATAAACCACAACAAGATATAAGGAAGAGTCCAAAGAGATAATGTGCAAACAACAAAGGCCATCAGTCCATGCACAAAGACTTTCACCAATCATAGGAGCCTTTGATGTACCAAGCAACTAATTTTATGACTATAGCTTGTTTCCTACTTCATTTCCTTTTCATTCGTTTTTTTAAAAAAAAAATCTTCTGCAATGCCATTTTGCGAGGGGATCAGAAACCACATATTTTGTAAAGATATACAGTAAATTTGTATATTTAATGAATTTAGAGTACTTAAGTTTATAAAAAAGAGAAGAGCACAATCATAGGGATTACAGAAGTACCGATTTATATAGGATTAATTTAAGGGATTTGAATAATGATAGATGATATGAGTTTCCTTAACATATTTAGGGTATCGTTATGAAAGTTATTAGAAAACACAACACACTTATTTAGTAGACGCATATATAAAGAGTTGGAGTAGTGGGCAAGCGTGGAAGTTAGAAAAAACAAAACCCTAATTTTCCATTTGACAACAATGACGATGATGTCTGATCTTTCCAAGGATTTGGTAGAGGAGATATTCTCTAAGGCTCCGATAACTTCTCTAGGAGCAGTGAGATCCACTTCCAAACAATGGAACGCCTCATCCAAAGACCGGCTGTTGTGTAAAGCAGAACCAAGGGAGCAGTATCTGAGGTTCATGGTGATGGATCATAGGTTTCTATCAATGACATTCAATCTCCACGGAATCCTCAAAGGAGACGGTGAAGTCTTTGTTCGTTCATCTATCAAGGAGGTAGGTGATATAGTTAATCAAATTGACATCTCTAAAGTGTTTCATTGCGATGGTTTAGTGTTGTGCGTCACAAATGACAACTCAAGTCTCGTGGTTTGGAATCCGTATTTGGGTCAAACCAAGTGGATCGAAGCACGAGAACCTCACGACGAATCAGACTTGTTTGCTCTAGGATACGACAAGGACAAGAACCACAAGATCTTGAGGTTGTACGATCAGTATTACAACTACACATTTTACAATTTGAAGACTGAATCATGGGGGGAAGAAGATTACCTTCCAGGCTGGGATATAGATTCTTATAACCGCGGCGTGGCCTTAAATGGAAATACTTACTTCTTGACTCAAGAGCAAAGAGCAAAAGATAAGTATCGTGTTTACTTGCTCTGTTTTGATTTTACAACAGAGACGTTTGGAGAATTTCTTGCTATGCCGTTTAAGTATCATAGGAAATACATTGGAACTCTTTCTTGTGTCGGGAAAGAGAAACTTGCGGCGTTATATCAGCGCTGGGATACAGGCGAGATGGCCATTTGGGTGACTACTAAGATTGAGTCCAATGAGGTGTTGTGGAGAAACTTGTTTAAAGTTGATATGGAACCACTCATTAGGTTTGGTTTTCAATATTGTAGAGATGAAGCTGGCAGTTTTTTTATTGACGAAGAGAAGAAACTCGCGGTGGTTTTTAATTTAGACAGAAAATCTGATAAAAGGACCAAGAAGAAACGTTGTTACCACACAGCTTATATCGTTGGAGAGAAGGGATACTTGAGAAAAGTGGTTCTTGGAGAAGCTGTGGAGGTCAGAGAAGGCGTGTATCGTAGCGCACTTGTGTGTTCTAGCTCTTATGTTCCAAGTTTAGAGAAGATCAACCAAATTGAAGAGGAAGAGGAAGAGGATAAGTGCAAATCAACCAAAATAGTGGACGCAAACGGGAAAGATAAGAAGAGAAAGAGGAAGAGCAAAAGGTAAGAAAGAGACTACGTACTACTACTTAGTTCATTTTGCCATGTAGTTTGAACAAGACTAGTCAATAATTTTTTCGTTTCTGTTTGGTTGAACAGACAAGACATAAAACTGTAAATGTCTCTTCTACTGCAAAAACAAAGCTTCTAAGTAATCATCAATATAAGCTAAGCAAGCAAATGATCTGTTCTTATATGCACCAATGCCGATCTTTCACCAAATATTTTAGGATGTTTTTGTAATGAGAAAACAATTGTTACAATCGCAAGAATGCTTTAATTTCCAGTACGGAAGTCTATTTTACTTTAAATGAGAATTTTTTTTCCATTTTCTGTTTTGTCTATTTAACATTTAGCAAGGCTCATACATATGTATCTCTGTGAAGGTTATAAAAGAAAAAGGAAAAAAAAAAGAGATTTGAGCAAAGATGTGTTACGCAAATATACGAGTGGCAGGCGTTTAATTTTTTTTTTTTTTTTTTTTTTGCAGGCGTGAAAGTTGGAAACCCTAATTTTCTTATTTGAAAACAATGACGATGATGAGCGATCTTACGCAGGATTTGGTAGAGGAGATACTGTGTAGGGTTCCGATAACTTCTCTAGGAGCAGTGAGATCCACTTGCAAAGGATGGAACGCTTTATCCAAAGAACGGATTCTATGTAAAGCTGAGCCAAAAGAGCAGTTTCTAGGGTTCATGTTGTTGGATTATAGGCTTTGTTCAATCTCCATGGAATCCTTAACGAAGACGGTTTAGAATTCGTTGTCCCATCAATAAAGGAGGTTGATATTTTACTTAATAGCCGAGTTGAGATATCTAAAGTCTTTTACTGCGCCGGCTTATTGTTGTTATGCCTCACAGAGGGCGAGTCAAGGCTCGTGGTTTGGAACCCGTATTTAGGACAAACCAGATGGATCAACACCAAAACCACTACAGGATTACCCATATATGCTCTTGGATGTGACAACAACAAGAACCACAAGATATTGAGGTTTTTCTATAATAATCAGGGCTACTACGAAATTTACGATTTTAAGTCTGATTCATGGAGGGCTTTTAATGTCATGCATGCCCAACTGGTATATGGATTGGTATCGGCAGGGCACATCATTAGATGGAAATACTTACTTTTGGACTAGAGAAAGAAAAAAAGGATATGATTCAGATGAAGATGAAGATGAAGATACAAGCCCTTATTTCTTAATCTGTTTTGATTTTACGGCAGAGAGATTTGGAAAGCTTCTTGATCTACCGTTTACACTTGATTTTGTATCTGAAGATAATGGGATTCTATATTGTGTTAAAGAAGAGAAACTTGCGGCGTTATATCAACAATGTGATACTACTATGATAGAGATTTGGATTACTACTAAGATAGAGCCCAATGCGGTGTCTTGGACCCCCTTCTTAAAAGTTGATATTGAGCCGCTTCTTGGTCTTGATTTTCAGTTTAATGAAGATGATTGCTGTTTCTTCATTGACGAAGAGAAGAAACTTGCCGTGGTGATCCATGCAGACGATTTTGTAGAAGGCAAAATAATTTGTGAAAGAACAACTTCTTCCATCATTGGAGAGAATGGATATCTGAAAAAAGTGAATCTTGGAGAAGAAACATACGATCACCCACTTGTGTGCTCTTATGTCCCAAGTTCAGTGCAAATCAACCAAATTGCAGGACGCGAAGGGAGAGAGAATAAGAGGAAGAGGAAGAGCAAAGGAAAGGGAAGACCTGGGAGGGACCTAACCAACAAGGTCTAACACTAAACCAGTCAAAAGGATACAAGAAGACTAATATATAACTACCAATTTTATAGCTTATTTTTTTATGAATAATAGTTTTCTTTCTTTCTTGCATCTTTTTTCATTGGTTTTTTTTTTTACCTTTTTTGTCTTCTATTTTTATGATAATACAGTTTTCTTCTTCTTTGTTATTAAAAACTTTGTCATCAATGGCCTTCCAAAGATACAATTTCACTTTAGAACTATCTCACTTGCACTAGTTTCTACTTTATCCCAATAAAAATAAATTTCTCAAAAAAATAGCATCGTCAGACTCTGTGTTTGTTCGTTTGGGTAACTTTATATGTAGGTGTGCCAAAAGAATAAGCAAAAAATAGTGAAAGTCTCTGCTATTGCAAAAACAAAGCTTCTAAGTAATCATCAACATAAGCTAAGCAAGGCCAATAATCTGTTCTTATATGCACCAATGTCGATCCTTCACCAACTTCCATTTCAAACATCAGATGATATCTCGGAGGAAGAAACATCAGCATCTTTATCTTTCCCATTTTCCCTCTGCTCCTCGTCATCGGAACCTCTTGGTCATCTCCATATCCAA